ATTTTTCACTTGACCAAATGAATATACAATAGCGTTTCTAAATTCTAGTTGCCGACGACATTTTGTTTGTTGCTTATAGATACTTTGTTTAAATAAATTCATTTTGTTTTTTGTCTTGAAAAATCCCACATTGGATGAAACATGTTGGATAAAAACTAGTATTGTCTTTTTCTGCACATATTATATACAAGGAAAGTGAATAATTCTCTAAATTTGGAAAGTTGATCAAAAAAGCAAAAATAGGGAACAATGAACCCTTGTTGAGATTAATGTGAAGATTAGGGAATCACCTAATACCTAGAACCATGCTGATTTTGGTTTTGGGTTGAAGCGCATATAAGCAGATAGCTTTGAGAGCTTGCGCTGCGAGTTCCCACATCAGTGCCTCTGGAGTCCACATCAGCTGATCTCTTGATGCTGAAGAACTTTGAATCCAGCTCCCTCAGAATTTTAGACAAGGGTCAGTGTTACTGTAGAGTTTGATGTGGGAAGGATTAATTTTTGTTGTAACAAGAACTATATATACCAGCTGAAGATTAACCCAATGAATCTTTCATTTTATTTTACATTATGAAGATATTCCTTCCATTAATATAGCTTCCATCACAGCTCAAACCAGCGCTTCAATTACTATGACATTTGACCTTCCACCACTCTGGGATCAACAACACATGGGCAGAGTTGGTGTGGATCGAAGCGGCCAGTGACTAATAGTATGGACCACCCAGAGTTAGACCTGTGGTTAAAACGTCGTCCTAACATCCTGAGGATCAGATGACTAAACATGGTTACACCATCAGGTATAGGCGGTGGGAAAGGAATTATAGGTTTAGGGTTTATTAAATTTCTAATCATTGTTTTTGAAAACAAGCATTGCCAAAAGAGTAAAGGTAGTTAAAAAAGTGGTATCATGGGAAAAACTATCCTTTTGACATTCAATCATATTGTGGGCACATTTATCCATGTTTGCCTATATTTTTTTTTTCTTCATGCTGAAATTTGTACTGGGTTCTAAATAATTAAAATTCATTTTATTATTCGTATAGTTCTCATTAATTATTTTTTACCAATCTTAATTGAGAATAATTTTTTTAGTGTAAGGTTCACCCTGTACAAAACATGGAGGGCACTTAAGGTAGAGATTTACATTAAGAGACACAATTTATACGGATATGTGTGGAAAATAACGTTTGACCCTAGACTTGAACAAGTTAAGATTGTGGAACTGGCTCACAAGAATATGCTTCCCAGACACCACAATCTTAACAGTTCAGGGAAGCATCCTCTTGGGAGTTGGTTCCACAAAGCAGGTAGAGAGTTAGAGAGTAAGATGCACAGTTTATGCGGATAGGTGTGAAAGATAACGGTAAACCCTAGACTTGAACAGGTTAAGATTGGAGTGATCGGGGAAGCATCCTCTTGGGAGTCGGTTCCACAAAGCAGGTAGAGGGTTACAGAGTAAGAGACACAGTTTATGCGGATAGGTGGGGAAGATAATGGTTGACCCTAGATTTGAACAGGTTAAGACTGTAGTGATTGGGGAAGCATCCTCTTGGGAGTCAGTTCCACAAAGCAGGTAGAGGGGTAGAGGGTTACAGAGTAAGAGACACAGTTTATGCGGATACGTGGGGAAGATAACGATTGACCCTAGACTTGAACAGGTTAAGATTCTAGTGATCGGGGAAGCATCCTCTTGGGAGTCGGTTCCACAGTTCTTTGCAGGAAGAATCTGTTCGAGTTGAACTTACTTCTAACCAATGGAATACGGAGAGAATATGGGTGGTTTGCTACAATGGGAGTGGCATGGCGGGTCCTAGTTGCGAAGGTTAGAACTAGAAGAATCAAGTATGGAAGTAGCAATAGAGCTGCGAGAGATTTGCTGCATCCTGCCTGGGGGAGAGAGATTGGAGTGCGGAAAATATTTTGTCACTCAGAGATGCTTTTGAACTCAAGATTGGAAAGTCAGTACTGGGCAGCTGCTGCCCCGATATGACAACAGTACACTATTTTAGAAGATAGCATGAGGAGCTAGGTAGTTACACGAGCAGTACAGACGGCCGACTATTTTACCTGCATCTTTAGCAATGGATTGTATGTTTGCGTTTCACTTGAGGCCAGGTGTGTGTTTAAGGCCCAGTAGTTATCAAGGCAGGTTATCTCCTTGAGGGGACATCTGTTCATCGTGCCTGGCAGTAGGTTGTGGTTGATTCCTGGTTCTGCTCTAGTAAATATCTGACACCTCATGCTATTCTCTACCTTTACAAGAACCAGACCAAGTCTAAAATGGAGTACTGCTACCGTATTTGGACAGGAGTTGCCCAGTCCTTACTATCCTGTCTCCATAGTGTCCAAGAGTGTCTCTGTGTACTTGGGGGTGGGAATTATTTTCCACCCTACAACACCTTTCTCAGAGATGCTCTATTACCGATTCCATAGAAAGTGCTCTGATGAACTACATTCGTTAGTTCCACCAATTTTAGCCTTCATGGCCAAGACCCACCTTGCCGCACATATTGCAGTGAACTATCATCATACCTTCCATATTCCTTTGGTGAGATGCAAGTTCCACTCAGGCAGATTCTTCCTGCAAATCACTGCTCTGTGGAACTGACTCCCAAGAGGATGGTTATTTCCTCCCTCCTGATCACAACAATCTTAAGATATTCAAGTCCAGGATTAAGCGTTATCTTCCTCTCCGATCATTTTGTTATTCATCAAAAAAATTTTTTGCCTGACACCAGCATCTTTGATATATTTTATTCATAGAAGCAATTAAAAACTTTTTTTAGTTAAATAATATCTTAGTTTTAGTACATTTTTTATTTTACAATTCAGAGCAGATTTTAGATAATTGGGGGGGGGGGGAGTCCTGTTTGACACCAAACATTCAATGATTTAAATTCTCCTAGGGCTTGTCCTTATAATTAATAGAAACATTAAGTGCTACAAAAAAAAAAAAAAAAAAAAAAAAATTTCAAAATTTCATAAAATTAAATACGCGGCGTTAAGAGACTGCTCTTCAATTCATAATTGAGGCCTCTTAGCCACTCGCGTTTATACACATTTCATATATAACATGTTAAAATTTCCCTTTCTCTGCCATGCACCAATAACTAGAGTAAGATCTCTGACTAATGCCAAATCAGTCAAGTTTCAATCCCAGCTTGAAGCAATCAGACATCTAGCCACACTGATGAGCTGTGATACAGTGAAACAAGCTTGTATGTGGATGACTATATACTACCTCAATATAACCTTCCACCTTGAGTGGCTCCCGGGCCTTGTTCAAGGTGAACCTTACAGCAAAAAAAAAAAAAAATTTAAAAACATAAAAAAAAAGTTACCAGTCTTATTTTATGTTAATATTGTGTATGCATGTCTATAATTATTTATTCACCAAAAAAAAAAAAAAAAAAAAAAAATTTTTATTTAATAATATCACTTGACCCCTACAAATAAATATAATAATTTATAAACTTTTAAAATTTTGTAATTAAAAAAAAAAAAAAAAAAAATTTTGTGCAACAATAGCATCTATAATATAAAACGCTTTTTTAATTAATGAATACTGTTGCCATATATAGTCTGGTGCCCCCACTGTTCATCTCACAGTCCTCAACAAAATCCAAAGACTGATATGCAACGTGATAGGCCCTGACCTGGCATCTCATCTCGAGTCATTTTCTCTCTATCTCGTCTAGTAGCCAAATTAGCCACTAAACAAACAAAAAAGAAAAGAACAATTACCACAAAATATTTATAGAAAACGCACAGAGAAGCTACGTTACGTCAATGGAAAAGCGACTGAAGTCAAGATGCCAGGTCAGGACTGATAATAATGCAGATTCTTTGGATTTTATCAAGAATCTCTAAATCCATAACTGAAACACCAGACCGGATGTGGCAGCAATATTCAATGCACGGATGAATGGTATATACTTATAATTGTATCAGATGAATTCTGACGAGAAGAATTTTCTAGGACAAGAAACAAACTTTCCTTACAATCAATTCAATATAGTCTTTCCACTTCATATCAGCGGAAAACATGAGAAGACACAATGAGTCCCTCTCCTAGAGGTTAGCATCAGCCATACTGACAGAAGACAGAAACAGGTCGTCTCAGATGATGAAAAACGAGCAATGTTTGTGGGAATGGGACGTTCTGGCGTAGCCTATTTGGCGTGGCTGATTCGACATAAGAATTTTTTGACAGAGGACGAAGAGGAGTCAGATTAATATTTCGTTGTTATAGTCAAATTTCTCTCTCTCTCGCCTAGTAGTCAAATTAGTACTTTGTTGTTATACTCAAATTTTCTCGAATAGTTCATTTTAAGAAAAAGGGTAGTTGACGGTATTTTTATATTTCCTTCAGAGCAGCTTCCTATTTTTCAGTCATCAAAGCCCTTTTATTCCAAAATGGAAGCAAATATTTTATACAAAACATGGAAGAAACAAAGTGATACACGATGAATACTTTTTTATTATTTATTTTATTGTAAGATTAAATGGGTTTACTAAGATTTTAATTTTTTTTTTTTGAAATACAATATTTTTAATTTAAGTTTTTAATTACTATTATTCCATTAGTATTTTAATAGGATCCTTAATTTTCTAAATGAATAAAAATTCATATTGAAAGTTGCGTTTTCAATGCTTATATCGTTTTTTTTTTTGCTTCCAGTCAAAGAGTGATGTCAAAACAGTGTAGCGCCTAAACAGCTGCGCCAAATAGTTCAATTATTTTTTTTTACACCAAATGGGCTATGCCAAAAATGTACCAAACTGAGATTAAATAAACGGTTCAGTTCAGAAATCCCTGTGGGTCACCTGGATTGACATACTCCTGATGAAGGCACAACAACTGAAACGTTGTGAGAACAAGAACGATGAGGATGTAAATAATTTTTGTCTTAAATAAATAGTGTGTGTGAGAGAGAGAGAAAGAGAGAGAGAGCGCATGAAGAAATCAAGACAAATTTCATGACATCGGAACTTACTCTTTTGGGTTTTTCTCTATTTCCAATGTAACATTTGTTAAATTCATGTTACCATGGCCACCATCGTAAATCTCTACAAAGAGATCTGTAAAGTTGCTGAAACTATTGAAGACTTCGCTGATCCAGAACTGAAAAATAAAAAAAGAATTGTGGAAAATGAGTTCAATATTGAAAAAATAAAATAAAATAACGAGCATAAAACTGACAACAAGACACGCCTCAAAAAGTCAGGGCTCTCTTCACTGAATGCATTGTCATGTTACACTTAACTTTAGCAATCTTCACTGGTGTTGTGTTTACCTGCTGAATTGGATATCCAATAGGCCCATAGAAAAACATTCAAATCAAAAGGTGCATTCAGATACTAACAAACAATTATTATTAGCAATTGCTACATAATTCTATCTTCCTTGCTCTTTTTGTTTGTAATTTGAATAAACATTTGCCTCTATAACATTTTTCTTTTCAGGCTTTGAAAGGAATGGTAGGTTTAACAATAGTAGCACAATCTTTCATCTCTGTTCCTTCTTTTAAATCAGTTTCTTCCATTTTAACTTTACTCCATTCTTTTGATGCTGGTGAAAAGTAGTTCCATATATATATATATATATATATATATATAATTTGGTTAAATAGATGTCAGTTTGTGACCCTGGGTTTCACACTTTAGCGATCGTCAGACAAAGTGATTAATTTTTTAAAAAATTTGGGTTTATGTAGATTGCGTGTATTGGTGTTATCGTGGAAGTGGTGGGGGAAACTTCGTCGCTTTTGTCACCGTACTAACGCAAACATCGATGTATGCAGACACATATACATACTTGGTTGTCCGTCGGGACTCATACATATATAAACATATGTGGGCAGTTTCGGATATGACATATGTATACGGGTGGTGTTGTGTTTATACATACGCATTTGTATGTTGAAATTTAAAATAATTATACATATATATATTTATTTATATGTACACTTTTCACACCTTTCATATATATATATATATATATATATATAAAAAAGGAAAAGAAGTCTAATTGTTGCTTTCCTTTTTGGATGTTCTTGTCCATAGAACCTGTGACAAGTTTTTGACTTCTGTTTTTAGGAAGGCTACCTTTTCAGGACTTTATACACGTTGGGACTCTTTTTGTCCCCCACAATGTAAGATAAATCTGGTTAAGACCTTAACTCATAGGGCTCTTATGATCCGTTCCGAAGGCTTTCTCTGTGTTGAAACTGATTTTATTAAGATGACACTTTCCAAAAATGGATATTCTTTGGATGTTTTGGATGCCATTATCCATGATGTCATCAATAATTTTCATAGGGTTAAGTCGCATCTTGTTAAAAAAAAAAAAAAGAGAAAAAAAAAAAATGTCCTGTTTATTTGCATCTTCCCTTGATTGGTTCAGAGGGTGAGTCTTTAGCTAGGCGAATTTCATTTGCAATCAACAGTTGTTATTTTTCTGCTAATGTTCGAGTAATATTTTTTTACTCGACCTATTCTTTCTTCCATTCATAAGGACACCCTTCCCCACTGATCATGTTAACTCAGTTATTTACAAATAAGAATGTAGTTATGGACTCAACTACACAGGGAGGACTTCTCACCATTTGGATTTTAGGATTAAGCAGCATTTACCTCCCAGGGTTTTAAATCCAGATGCTAGCAATAGTCAACTGGTTAATACATCTTGATCATCTATTGCACAACATATTATTAATAGCAGGATTTGTATTACCGATTTTAGTGTGGACCGTTTCTCTATTTTATCAAGGTCCCACTCTTTAGATCATCTCAAGGTCCAGGAATCCTTATATATCAGAACACGCAAGCCTTCCCTCTGTAAACAGACGGATTGTTTGCTGGGTCTGAATATTATTGGGCTCTAGTTTTCCTTGAAAAATCCACCCCCTCTCATTCATCATCTTTAATTTACACATCTATTTTTTATTTCCCCAGAATAAAACTTGATAAGACTGAGACGAAACCAGTTGTTTTTAGCTATTAAATTTACACTGATATACCTTTTAAAATACACTGATTCCTTGCTATTATTAAGTTTTGTATAACAAAAAAAACTTATATATATATATATATACACACATGGAGATGAGTTTGTAACCATGGGTTTCACGCTTTTCTGATCATCAAACAAACTGATTTATTTTTAAGACGTGAATCTATTTATGTTAGTTTGTGTCTGAGAAATAGAGAGAGAAAGGAGGGAGGGAGAGGGAAATAAAACTTAACGACTTCTTGAAAGGATGAAGGATTTTAAAATTTAGAAATTTGTATTATTTATCACAAAATATATATTAAAAAAAAAATTTTATTGACTATCTTAAGAAGGCTATTCTCAAGAAATAAATAAAAAAAAGACATCTGTTGAGAGTCATATTTGCCTCTATAGAACCATTCTGCTATCTTTCTCAAAAAGGCATCACATCACAAGAAATAAAAAGAAAGGACATCTGTAGAGAGTCCTGATTGTCTATGACCTGAAGGGATATGAAATAAATTGTTCTGGTGCTGATAGAATATTTGTTTTGGAATACTGGTTAGGTTATTTTGAAGATTTTTTTTTCAATTTTTTTTTTTTTATCTCTCAGTACACTTGAACTCATAGTTAAACTTCTACAGTACATTTATGATAATCAAAAAAAAAAAAAAAAAAAAAAAAAAAATAAAAAAAAAATTAAAAAATAAAAAAAAAAAAAAAAAAAATTAAAAAAAAGAAAAAAAAAATTTTAAAAAATTTAAAAAATTTAAAAAAAAAAAAAATTTAAAAAAAAAAAATTTTTTAAGAAAAATTTAAAAAAAAATTTTAAAAAAAAAAAAAAAAAAAAAAAAAAAAAAGAAAAAAATTAAAAAAAATCAAAAAAAAAAAAAATTTAAAAAAAAAAAAAAAAAAAAAAAAAAAAAAAAAAAAAAAAAAATTTAAAAAAAAGAAAAAAAAAAAAAAAAAAAAAATTTAAAAAAGAAAAAAAATTTAAAAAAAAAAAAAAAATAAAAAAAAAAAAAAAAAAAAAAAAAGAAAAAAAATTAAAAAAAAAGAAAAAAATTTAAAAAAAAGAAAAAAAAAAAAAAAAAAAGAAAAAAATAAAAAAAAAAAAAAAAAAAAAAAAAAAGAAGAAAAAAATTAAAAAAAAAAAGAAGAAAAAAATAAAAAAAAAGAAGAAAAAAATTTAAAAAAAAAAGAAGAAAAAAATTAAAAAAAAGAAGAAAAAAATTAAAAAAAAAAAAAAAAAAAAAAAAAAATTAAAAAAAAAAAAAAAAAAAAAGAAAGAATCCTGAAAAGAAATATACTTTTTATGATTTATTAATTAGCACAAAACAATTTAGTATAATTTATAATAAAAAGATAATTCAAATGTCTGTCTATATTTCCGAGATGAGGTATTATGTATATTATTTACATTATTCAGACTATTGTCCTCATCTTTGTTGCTATATTTATTACAACATTTCGGCCGTTGTACACTCCGGCCTTGTTCAGGAGGTTGGAATGTCGAACTGAACTCTTTATTTCGCTCACTGGGGCAGACTGTTCTATTTCCCCATGTGCCATGTTTAATGGATGTCAGTTATCAGTTATCTCCTGTTAATTTTCCCTCTGAAAGTTCTCCACTGCCTTAGCTGGGTATTGAACTCACACTCGTTGGGTTCTGTCACTGGATCTTACCAATGCCTTTATCTAGTGTGCCATGTGTCCTTGGGGAAATAAAGGGTTCAGTTCAACATTCCAACCACCTGAAGGAGGCCGGAGCGTACAACGGCTGAAACGTAATAAATATGGCAACAAAGATGAGGACAATAGTTTGAATAATGTAAATAATACAGGGTGTTTCAAAAAATTTGATATTCTTTGAGATGTAAATATCACAGAAAGTACATGATTAAGGCAAATGAAATTAAAAAGTATTAATGTTGCAGATCATAAGATTTATTCTTCCAAATCTGAATGAGAAATTCAAAAGCATGTGGATTATGTGAACGATTTCACAAATGTTCAATATGCGCACCGCCTGAGACACGGCATTTTTATACCTGTAAAGAAAAAGATTAAAGAACATAAAAATCCAAATAAGAAAAACACAAAAACAAACATTAAACAAAGATGCTATTAAAATTTGAAGTCATTTGAAGATCTAACAAAGTTATTAGATTGCGAAATGATATCAAATTTTTTGAAACACCCTGTATAATTAAAATGTTTATAAAAAAAAAAAAAAAAAAAAAAAAAAAAACTTATATTTATTTATTTTACCATTTATTATAATTTACCATGTAATAAGATATACAAGCTTGACATTCAATTTGCAAATGTCTTCTCACAACGTCAGCTTTTGGCCAAGCATATGCGTTTTTGTTTTATTTTTTTTTTCGTAATAATTATTGAAAATTGACCCTTGTTTATTGATACAAACAAAACAATTTATTATAATTTGTATTAAGATAATAATTAAAATTCTTAAAACAAAAAAAAAAATTATGTTTATTTTTCTGTTTAATTTGCTTTATGCCTCTTTATTCCTTAAGGAACATAGGGATGCAGCAACACCTCCCCAATGGATGTGGTTCTGGGTGATCCTCTTTAGCCCGGCCCATGTTGTGCCGGCTGCCATCACTACTATGTCAACACTTCGGCGCAAACTCTGTTTTGGTCGACCTACTTTTCGACCTACTTGTTTTTGGTCGACCTACTTTTTTTTGGTCGACCTACTTTTCTACCTTTTCAACCTTGTGGATTCCAGTCAAGGGCTTGCCTGGTGACACTAAAAGCAGGCTTGCGGAGTATATGGCAGATCCATCCCCATTTCCATTTGTTGATGTCAATCTCAATTGGGGATTGTCTGGTTCTGTCTCAGAGTTGGAGACAATTTCCAGCCACCTGATATTGAGGATGCTCCTATGTTTATTAATTTAACATTTAATGAGCTTGACATTTGTTTTACATCTTGAATATCTTCTTTACAAGGCAGAATTTTGGACAGGCATTCTCTTAAATCTTCTTCCAAGGATTCTAGCCATGATCGATTTTGGTCTTTACTGTTGTTTATTACAGAAAAGCCTTCTTTGCATAAATATGACATCAAGAATGGAAGATGTATTTCTACTGATATCTGT